GTAGTTATCCGTCAGTAACACTTGGTAAATAAATAACTATTTTTTTTCTTCTTTTAATTTTAAAAAATATTTTTACTATTTCTTAGGGCCTGTTAGTCAAGAAACGGCCATAACAACAACTACATCAACAACATCTGGAAATGATACAAGTACTGGTGCTGTTTTAGTTGATTATATTCCTCGTATGTCACCAACATTACATAAACAACAAGTACCAATTGTTTCAACAACTTCTCGTATACTTTCGGCTACAATGAATAAACGTTCTAATATAGTTGAAGAATTACCGATAACAACGAATATTGACTGTACATTAGATAATCATAATGAAAAAATAACTTCAAATAGTGAATTAATTTATCAACGTTCACATACATCACCAATGCTTGAATTAATCGATGATGGAATTATTTCACCAACAAATGGTTTAATAAGTGCAGCATCAATACATGATGATAAAACAGAAACATATCGAAAACAAACAGCAGATATACAAAGTCGTAATGATACATCATTAAGTAAACCTATGTGGACAGATGATGATGATCAATTACTTATTGGAGATGAATTTACAGGTGGAGAACGTGCATCAACAAGTCAATCAATGTTATCTCAACATCGAAATAGTTCAACAAGTACAACTATGGTTACGCCAATACCAACATTTCCTAGTGTTATGAAAAAATCAACATTACCATCTACAAAACAACAATTTTATCATCATCATAAACCATTAAATAATGATCAACCACAATCGAAAGTATCACCAAGAACACTTATTCCATTTTCTCTATCGAAATATAGACGTATTCCAGCTAATGTATATTCAACAGCATCAACGTCATCGTCGTCGTCACAACAACAAGCATATACAAATAGTTCGAATAATTCATCTAATGATTTAATAAATAATGGAAATGGAAATATGAGTAACAGTACAGAATCATTCAATGAACGTTTAATATTAAATAAACGTATTGAAATGTTTAAAACACCAGGTAAACAATTATCATCACAATCAACTGCTCCATCTCCTACTTCATCATCGACTACGATGTTTTCTCCTGTACCTTCTCAATCAAAAAGACATTTTCAACAGCAAGATACCAAATCTGTAGGTACAACAACAACATCTGTACCACCATCTTCATCATCTCTTATACCATTAGATAATACAAAAGTAACTATTGGTAAGTTAAATAAATATAATATTTTGAAAAAAAAACGAACAAACGAAAAACATCATTTTATTCATGTATAGAAACAATTGGCCCTAAAACAGTAACTGCTCTCTTACGACAAAATGCAACAATCGAACCAGTAGATACATCTCGAGGTGTTGGCAAACATCTCGTTTCATTATTAACAACAGCGTCAAAAGAGACAGCATCTATAAAACCTAGTAATTTTTTTCTTATTTGTATCTACTTCTCTATCCTTACTGTTTAATATAGATTATAAACAATCTTCTCGTGATGTAGTGATTGAAGAACGTTATAAAGTAATATTATTTATTTCATATAAAAAAAATATGTATACCTTTATTTTTTTATTAAATAGTTGGATTCAAAAATGAATAGTCCATGGTCAAATACAACAAGTAATACTAATATTTCAACAGTGAGCAGTAGTCTTCAATCAAATGCAGCTACTATCTATAATGCAAATAAATTACCATCAGTTATTGTTAATCGTAAATCAACATCGAAATGTTTCTTATGTAAAAAGAAAACTGGACTAGCTACAACATATCAATGCAGGTAAAAGAATCTTCCTAAATATTTTGTTTTAGAAGACATTATTATAAAATAAATATTTATTTTTCTATTTATCAATTTTAGATGTGGAAGTTCATTTTGTAGTGAACATCGATATCCTGAGGCACATGCATGTGCATTCGATTATAAAGCTGAAGGAAAACGTTTAATTGAACGAAATAATCCATTGGTAACCGCACCAAAATTACCGAAGATCTGATTGAAAAAAAATTCAAGCTTTTTTTCCGTTCCCTATTTTTGTATTCACTGATAAACTCAAATAAATATATAATTTCAATGTCCATCTGTCTGTCTTTGTTTTTCCTTGATTTTACATATATGTATCATGTGCAGCCACTGTAGCTTTCATGTTTTTGTTTTCTTTTTTTGAATAATTAATCGTTTAAATGTGCGTCTACTGGCCACTTCTTGTTGTTTTTCAATAAGCTCGAGCTTGAGTTTTGTTTATTTCTTTTTTTTTTCTCTTTTTTTGTATCTATTCAATTCAAACACATATGGCTCATTCATTTGTCTTTTTCATCGTCTTTTTTCGCATGAGCAAAAAATCGCGCGTGAATGACTCACGAGAACAGTAGACTTTCTTTTACTCCTCGTGCTGAACAGTCTCGCTCGAGGATAATATCATATATTTTTGTATAAATATAACAACATTATCATTCTCACACATACTGCATTTTGATGTTTTCCTTCTTCTTTATTTCTTTGATTTCTTCCGGTTCTTTTTTTCCTTTTCCCCTCTTCACACTCTTGCTTTCTTATTTCTTTGATACAAGAAAAATTGCTTTTTTGTTTTGGGTCTTTTTTCTACTAGCAGCGCGTTTCTCACGTTTTCTCGTCTATGCTTGCTAGTAATATTGACCATATCAAACATACACACACACACATTTATACTCTATGCGCACATATACGTTCTGTATAAATATTATCATATATGTAAAAGAAAAATGAGACGATGATGGCAAAAAAATACAAAATAAAAATTGTGCTTTTTTTTATCAATTGTACACATAATATTAAAATGAATTTTACTTTTTTTTTCTATTCAAATTGCATATAATATATCTTCTAGATAAAGAAAAGAAAATATGGTGCAAGAATCACACATTGAACCATCTCCTGAACGAATCGGTAAGCATATCTAATTGAAATTTGAGATTAGCTATGAATTCAAATTATATATTTAGATATCGTTCGTGGTACAAATTATCTTCTTGAATCTCTTGGTATTAATCGTCGTATCCGTTCCGTTACTGAATTTGCCAGTCCAGTACTCATTCCAATTTATGAAGAAATTTGTTCATTTCGATTAAATGGTTTGAAATAATTGATTTAATTTCTAAATAAAATTTACATATATATTTTTTTATTATATTAGATGTTCGTACACCTGTACGTAATCTTGCTGATGAAATACATAATATTCAATGTGTAATTAATGCATTGTGTTTTGATACAGTTGAATTTGATCTTTCACATATCTCAGGTGAGCAAGTCGCTAATGGAGATTTATATGCTATGGAAGATTTACTTGAAATACTTACTGATGTTTATCATTGGATTAAAAATGATCAAGAACAAGGTAATATAATAAGAAGAATAATTCATTATTTTCAAATCTATTTTATTTATTTTTAGCACCTCAAACTGGATTACATATTGCTGGTCTTAGTTCAGATCGATCAAGTGTACCACCTCCATCACTTGGTGCTCAAATTGCTCAATTAGCTGATCGACGACGTGCATTTGGTCATGATATTGTTGCTCCAAATAGTCTTGTTTATACAGAAATTAGTCCTATTGTATCACCATCAAATTCACCGACTCGTAAATATCAACAAGAAAGTATTGAACATGATACTGCTGTTGAAGATTTACAAGAAAAATATCAATCATTATTACGTCGTTTTGAGCAAACAGTACAAATGTCGTCTGATGCACTTAATCTTTCTCGAATCTCACAAGATACTCCGTCCACGAAAACGTCAGATTTACGTTTATTACTTAATGATTTAAATGGTGATAAAAAAACACAAATTAAACATAATGACACATTTAATGTTGATAATGTCAAAACATATGGTGATATCGAAGATGATTTAGCATTACTTCTGAATGATAAATCACCTAAACAGAAAACAAAATCAAATGATAATCTTCATGAAACAAAGTAGAACAAAAACAAGAATATCATTTAAGTTTAATATATAAAATCTTTTTGTATTTTACAGACCAAAATTACAAGAATCTATGATGACAACTAGTACAAACACTCTAGGACGTAATCGTTTGAATCATAGTGATGAATTTTATCAGATTCGAGCACAACTTCATGAACAATATAATTTAAAATCAAATTTAAATCATTTTCTTGAACAACATTTTAATGATGATCTTGATGATTATAAATCAACAAGAACATTATTACAAAATAAAAAAGATCAACATGCTATGCAACATCATGAAATTGATACATCAACACTTCGTTTAAATGAAAATCAAAATCGTCCTCATCGTTCACATTCTGCTATATCAAAAACGAAACACGTTTCATCAAAAAAAGGTTTTCTTCGTTCATCATCGAATACATTGAGTGTACGACCAATTGTACATAAGCATGATTTTAATGAATCAACAACATTAACAGATAATGAATTACCAACAAATGTTAAAATAACAAATAAACATCGCTTATTACTTGGTAATGAACATGATATTGTTGAAGTATTAAATGAACAATTTCCTGGTATTTATGTTTCAAATGAAATGCAAGCGAAACTTAATGAACAATTTAGTAAGCATATTGATAATGTTTTTAAATCAAGAATGGAACTTCTTAATGCTCAACAAGGAAATACGAATGATGTAAGAAATTCTTTTTTTGTTTTTTTCTATAAAAGTCGTTCATTAAATACAGAACTTTATCTAAAGGGAAGATAAAGGAAGAGTATTAGAAATACATGCATTACATGTCGATCTTATAAACAATATTGTAGAAGTGAATAAAAGTATTTTATTTTATGTTTTAGCTCGAAGTAGCTAAGCAAAAACATGACCAAATGACTGATATTTTACGTAAAGAATTAAGTACTTTACAGCGTCAGGTAAAACGATAAAAAGAAGAAAAACTTATTTTTTATCTATCATCTTCTTTTCTAGCAAGATATTCAATTAAAACAATCAGCTGAACGTATCCTAAAATCAAAAATTCGTGATCAACGTATACAACAAGCACGTGTACGTCGTTATTTTCAACAATATTGTCTTGATCAACGAAAGCGTTTACTTAAAAAACGTACAAATGAAGAATTAATATTAAAACAAGCTTATAAAGATTCTATACGTATTCAACGTGAACGTTTACATGAAATGAAAAAATATAAACAAGAATATAATGGTTTATTTCATGCACGTTATCGTAATCAATTAGAATCACTTGAAAATTATTATCGTCAACGTCTTGATATGTTCAAAGAAATTGAAGAAAAAGAATCAGCTTTGCAACGTACAAATGATCGTGAAGATAAATTAGAATTAAATAAACAACGTTTACAATTACGTAAACAACTTGAATCAGATATTAAACAATTACAAGATCAATTAAATCAAAATGATGATTATGTACATTTTCGTCAATTAGATTTAGAACGTTTAAAAGAGAATTTAACTCAAGCAAGAATAACGACAAAAGTTTAATTTATATACATATATACCCATATATTTGTTTGTGTAGTATTTCATAGAGAATGTAGTTTTTGCTTTTTTTTTCTTCTTCTTTTGTCTAATTAATATTAAATTTATAAACAGTATAATAAATGAGAATGAAACTAACGGATTTGTTTTATTATAAATTTCTTTTAGATTTTCTTCCTTTTTTTTAAAAATAGTAATATTATCAGATATTCAATGTGTACAAAACGAGGTGCATTAATTATTTTTGAAGGCCTTGATAGAATTGGAAAAACAACACAAAGCAAACTTTTATCTAATTATCTTTCAGAAGAATGTGGTATTCTTTGTGAACGTTTAGCATTTCCTGATCGATCAACACAAATTGGTTCTTTAATTGATAATTATTTACAACGTAAAATTGAATTTAATGATCATACAATTCATCTTTTATTTTCTGCTAATCGTTGGGAATGTATGGATTCTATGCGAGAAAAACTTCTTCAAGGTTATACATTAATTGTTGATCGTTATGCTTATTCTGGTGTTGCATTTAGTCAAGCGAAAGGTCTTGATAAAAAATGGTGTCAATCATGTGATATTGGTTTAATTAAACCTGATCTTGTTCTTTATTTTAATCGTGGTAAACAATCAAATTGTTTATCATATACTGGTGATGAACGTTATGAAACTAAACAATTTCAAGAAAAAGTTGAATCTCAATTTGAACAATTTCGTTCATCATCACATCAATGGAAAGATATTAATGTAATAAATTCTGATAATACAAATATGCGTGATAAAGAATCAATACAAAATGAAATTCGTTTATATGTGAAAGAATCTCTTGAAAAAATTAAAAGCAACAATATAGAAGAATTATGGAAAGATAGTTAACAATAGTAGTATAGAAGGTATATGAGATGTTCAGACGGCTATTAGAGTTAGAAAAAATTAAAAACTTTTATCTATATTCTACGATCAGAATAGAAATCAGTTCATTCAGTTAATGGGTCACGGAAATATTCAAATTTTTTTAACTTTAGTTACTTTCTATTAGCAGTTCAAGGTCATAAATTACACACGTACAGCTGAGTGTGTTTTATGGATAGAATTAAGTAAGTTGTATGTAACGATACTTCTCATTTTAATACAAAAATCAGTATTCTGTTATTTTTCTAGTGAGCTGATACTTTAGTCAATTTGTAATGGTTTAAAATACTATAGATTTCAGATCGAACAAGTTTGTATTTTTGACAGCTGGTACTCGATACTAATTTGAAAAAGTTAAGTCGATTATCCTCGCTCACAATGGTAGACCTCATTCATCTGTACTACGCATGACCCTTAATGAAAATAATGAGCTCAGTTACCTAATAGAAAACATAATAAAACATGATGTCTAGTAACGTTTCTCAAAAACAATTGTTGTGTTACATCTATATTCTCTTATAGAAATAAGAAAGTACTTCTCTCCAAACTATAGATATCGAAGAAAATGATTTTGAATTCTTTTTAAAATATTTTAATGAAAATGCTCATAATAACCGTTTTGCATGAAGAAGAAGAATAGAACAGGACTAAAATGGGCAAGCAGATCATCACGTAATATTCAAACTATACGTAGTTCTTTTTATTTCTAGATATGTCAGTTTTTAATTCCCTTGAATATGATGATCTTATATCTCGTCATCGTCAATCCAGTGATATATTATGGGCATTAAAATACTGGCATCATCCATTATTTGATATTAAAGAACAATCAATAAAATCAACAAAATTAATTAATAAAAATACTCAAATATCATCAATTATAACACCAGTACATTATAAAACTTTACCAAGAAATTCTGAACAAATTAAATCCGATGTTTTAAATAGTTTAGCATTAAAATATACAATTGAAACATTAGATAATGAAGCGAATGGATATGAACAAGCAAAAGCTATTATTCATGAAATGTCTCATCGTTTAAATATACGTAGTGCACGTTTTCTTGCTTTTGTTTTTTCGAAAATATTTAATCAAGTTTATGAAAATATTTATATTAATCGTAGAGGTATGGATAATATTTATCAATTATATTCTCTAACACCAATAAATACATCACCAACAATACCATCATCACCAATAACAATATCTTCAACATTATTTGCTATTTTAAATACATTTTCACGTTCATCATCATCAATTAATTCTGATACAAATTTATCATCACCATTAACAACAAAACATTATTTAACATCACCAAGAATTATTTATTTACCAACACATCGAAGTTATATGGATTTTATTGTATTAACATATGTTTGTTTTGAATATAATATTCCAATGCCATGTATTGCTGCTGCACAAGATTTTCTTGGTCTTGGTTTATTAGCTAATTTACTTCGTAATTGTGGTGCTTTTTTTATTCGTCGATCATTTCGTTCTGATCAACTTTATTGGACAATATTTGATGAATATGTTAAAACACATTTAGTACATGGAGATTATCCATTAGAATTTTTTATTGAAGGTGCACGTTCAAGAACATTAAAAACTTTATTACCAGTAAGACAAGGAATGTTAAAATCATGTTTAGAATGTTATTTTCGACGACAAATTGATAATTTAATCTTAATACCAATTACAATAAATTATGAAAAAGTTTTAGAAGATAATTTACATGCAAATGAATTATTAGGTATACCAAAACCAAAAGAATCAAAAAGTGGATTGCTAAAAGCAACACAAATATTAAAAAAATCATTTGGAACAATGAATATTCATTTCAGTGACCCAATTTATGTACATGATGCTTATGAATCATTTAAAAAACAAGAAGAAAATAAATCAAATAGTATGTAGTTTATATTTCAGAGTTGTTTGCCTTAATTATTACAAATAATTTCAATTCTTTCAGATCATTCGGATACTTTCAATCGATCTGTTCCACGTAGTCTTCAACCACGTTTTATCTGTCAACAAGATGCATTTACAGTATCAGAACAAAAATTTTCTGATGAAATTTCTTATCGTGTAGTAAATGAACAACAACGCCGAACGGTGATTTATCCAATAACTATTGCTGCATATTCTTTACTTAAGTCACCAATAGTTACAACATCTAAAGATCGATCTATATTAATTGAACAATTAGTGATAGATAAAAATATATTATTTACAGAGAATACCAATATTCTCGAACATTTTTCTTCTCAATATCAAATCTCATGGCCAGTTGAAAATGATAAGATTATTTTAAAAGACCGTCTTTTATCAATTTATTCGGATGTATTTGAAATGACTCGAAATAATTTTTTAACATTAAAAATGTCTGGTGATCGTCTAGCTGATGCATCTATTCTTATGAAACTTATTATGTATCGAAATACATGTTTACATATATTTGCTAAACCAGCATATATTCTACTTGCATGTCAAGTTAATTCTCAGGTAACAAAACAAAAGAATCTGATTTTTATTCTTGATAATCATTTTACAGTGAAGAAAATTGAATTATTTACTTTATTTTAGTTTCCAATTTCCTACGAACAACTTAAAACTTACTATCATTTTTTTGTTCATTTATTTGCCTATGAATTTGTTTATGATCAATTTCCAATGGATAATATGAATGATATCTATTTTGATAAATATCTTTCATATTGGATAACAATGAATTATCTTATACCTTCGGATAATTCAACTTATCAAATTAATTCAAATTTTCTTCAACAAATTTCATTAATAACAAGTCCATTCGAACAATATGCTCGTGCTTATTTATTAATTTATGAACAAGAAAATCTTTCATCAGAGAAAAATTTATCAATTCTAATCAAAATCTATCAAAAAGCTTTATTAACAAAACTTGATCCAAATAATATTATTAGTATATTAGCATCATCATCAAATGTGATAAGTAATGCATTACGAACATTAAATTTTACTACGAAATCAAAAATTTTATCTGAACTTCGTCATATGTTAACAAAAATATTTCAACCAAAATCAACTCATCTCCGTGCTAAGTTATAATTCCTTGTTGTCTTTTGTCTTTTATTGAAAACTTTCTCGTCATCTTTCTTTTTCTTTTAAGATCTGTGTATTTTTACACTTAACCTATGTTATTGTTTTGTATTACGTTAATTGTTATTGTTCATTTAAGAAAAATTCTATAAAAATTAAATATCCTTTTTTTCTTTTTTTTCTTGCGTAAAAGTAATTAAGTTAAGTCAATAGTTGTTCTATTATATTTGTTTTTCTATGCAAAAAAAGCAGTATATGAGAAAACTAGAGTGACATTTTTTTTAAAAAAAACGTAGATGACTCATATTCGATCGATAATTTGTACGAGTGAATCATACTATCGACGTGGATAGAGGACACATTGTATATAAATATATGTGGCTACATTCTATTTTACTGTCATAGTACAAACAATTTTTGTAAAGATGTTTTCTTGGTTACGTGACAAGAAAGAGACGACGTATAATAATATTCCAACAGATCAATCTCCTATTGATTTCAATTCTCGACCTCCTACAGCATCACCCGCGCTACATCAAAGCCAATATACACGGGGTAGAGTTTTTCGTTTGTATTTTATAATTTTGATCTAAACATTTTTTGAGATGAGTTAATCGATCGATTGTATTTTATCCAGAAATAAGAACTTGGAAATTAGTGATAATTTTTTGTTTGTCATAGGATGTTTTTTTCTTTTTTATTACTCCATAGTTTCTCATAAACCTTCGCTATTTACTTTTCCTATTCTACTCTTGATTTCATGTCTGTCTTTGTAGAATGGTTAAAAAATAATCACAGCGGTTTTTATCTGTGAACCAAAATCAAATATTGTTTTTTCTTGCTCAGTATAAAAAAAAAGTCATATACGCAGAATAACATTCATCCATTATCTATTTTTTTTTATTGTCGACGGAAATTGATGGATAGATGTATAAATATTCAGTATCTTTATAATTGTTTTTTTTTCTATTGACATTAACACAGTAGAATGACAATGATGTGACAGTTTTTTTTCTACTAAAGATAGAATTTTCTTTTTTTCAGATTCAATGGCTGCTCAACCTATTCAACTTGCAGCTGCCAAATGTCCAACTGATGAACTGACATTTACTAATTGTGCTATTGTTAATGAACGAGATATTGATCCAAAAAATGTTCGGTAATAAAAAACTTTATTAGTAATAATAGAACTATGAAAGAACACGTTTTGTTTTCTTATACAGACATATAGAAGTATCATCTAGTGTCTCACCTGCAAAATTTATATTTACAATAACAAAATATGGATTAATGCCTCAAGGTAAAATTGGTTTTAATACATTACAAGTAAGATTTTATCAAAATTTTATTTTAGTAATATAAATAAATTTCTTTTTATAGCGTAAATGGGCTGGCATTGAACTTGATCGACCATATCAAATTCGACCTTATAGGTTTGATAGAAATGTAACATCAATTACAACGCTTATACTTGATGTTGATTTTTTAAATAAAAAAAAGTATAAATTACTAGAAAATTTCTATTTTCTAAAACAAAAACTATTTTTATTCATAGTACAACAACAGATCCATATGATTCAGATAAAATGGCGATGGAATTTTTACAACAATATTCAGATCATGCATTTTCAGTTGGACAATGTGTATGTAGATAATATTTATAAACTTTCTCTTTTAATCTGTTCTATTATTATATAGTTACCATTTCAATTTATGGATAAAAAAACTTTAACAATTGTTGTTCGAGATATTGAAGGTAAATTTACTACGAAAGTATATTTCATTTTTTAATATCTATTTATTATAGCTTGCGATTTATCTGCTGCTGCTCGTGGTCAAAATACAAAAGCACGTAAAATTCAAGTTGGTGTTACACTTCCAAATACAATGGTTTCATTTGAACGAGCAGAAGGTTCACCAATAAATTTAAGTGGAAAATCTCGAGGGTAAATTAAATAAATTCCTAATAAGATATATTATAAATAGATTTCTTATAGAAAACCACAATTTGTTTCAATTATTAATCCAGAATTTAATTTTAATGCAATGGGCATTGGTGGTCTTGATACTGAATTTAATGCAATATTTCGTCGTGCTTTTGCTTCACGTGTTTTTCCACCTGAAATTGTTTATCAATTAGGAATGAAACATTGTCGTGGAATTTTATTATATGGTCCACCTGGTACTGGAAAAACATTGATGGCTCGGTATGTAGATATTTTTATTTAAAATCATTCAATATTTATTTTAATTTAGACAAATTGGTAAAATGTTAAATGCTCGTGAACCAAAAATAGTCAATGGACCACAGATTCTTGATAAATATGTTGGAGAATCTGAAGCAAATATTCGAAAATTATTTGCTGAAGCAGATGAAGAAGAAAAAAGAGTAAGAGATATATTATTTTCTAATTCTTAAAATTCTTTTATTTCTATTTTTAGCTTGGACCTAATAGTGGTTTACATATAATCATATTTGATGAAATTGATGCTATTTGTAAATCTCGTGGTTCTGTGGTTTGTAGAATTTATTTTTTTGTGTTATATAAAATAAAATCTTTTTTTATAATAGGCAAGTGGTGCTGGTGTTCATGATACAGTTGTAAATCAATTGTTATCAAAAATTGATGGTGTTGATCAATTAAATAATATTCTTATTATTGGAATGACAAATCGTCGTGATATGATTGATGAAGCACTTTTACGACCTGGTCGACTTGAAGTACAAATTGAAATTGGTTTACCAGATGAAGCTGGTCGTTTACAAATATTAAATATTCATACACAACGTTTACGTGAAAATAACAAATTAACTCCAGATGTTAATTTAAAAGAACTTAGTGAAACAACAAGAAATTTTAGTGGAGCTGAAATTGAAGGTTTAGTACGAGCAGCAACATCATTCGCTATGAATCGACATGTTAAAGTAAATTGAATAAAATAAATTTGATTTGATTTAAAATTTTCAAAATATTTTCTAGGCAGGAAAAAAGGTTGAAATTGATCCAGATGCAGTCGAAAAATTTATGATTTGTCGAGCTGATTTTGTACATGCACTTGAAAATGATATTAAACCAGTATGTTTTATAAATAGCAAATATTTATAATTAATCATTGAATTATTTAGGCATTTGGAATTAGTAAAGATGAATTTGATTCGTATATTTCTAATGGTATTATTAACTGGGGACAACCTGTAAATGATGTTTTAGAAGAAGGACAATTACGTATTCGACAAACTATTAATGGTGAAATGACACCACTTGTTTCAATTTTAATCGAAGGTATTTTCAATCATTCGTGATTATATATATTTATCAGTTTAATGACTAATTATAAAAATTCTTCTAAAAAATATATTTATTTTTAGGTCCACCAAACAGTGGTAAAACAGCTTTGGCTGCTCATATTGCACTTCTATCAAAATTTCCATATTTAAAATTTTGTACGGCACAAACAATGCTTGGTTTTTCCGAGTTAGCTAAATGTCAACAATTAAAAAAGATTTTTGAAGATGCACATAAATCATCTTTATCATGTAAGTTTTCTATATATATTAAGAAATTTCTTTAATAATAAGACTATCTTCTTTTTTTTCCGTACAGGTGTTGTTGTTGATGAACTTGAAAGTTTACTTGAATATGCACCTGTTGGTCCACGTTATTCAAATAATGTTTTACAAACATTAAAATTATTATTGAAACGTCCACCACCAAAAGGTCGTAAATTATTAATTATAGCAACAGCAACATATCGTGATATACTTGAACAACTCGGTTTATTACCATCATTTTCAAAAGTAATTCATTTAGCAAATATAACTACTGGTCAACAGATACTTCATGTATTAAATGAAATTGAACATGGTTTTAATAATGATGAAATGAAATATTTAGAAAAAAAATTACATGATAAAAAGTATGTTTAATTCGTTAATTTTAATAATTCAAAATTTCATTTTTATTTTTCTAAATAGAGTATGGATTGGTATTAAAGCATTACTTGATCGTATTGAAGTAGCACGTCAAGCAGAGGATAGTTCACGTGTTCAACGATTTCTTACACAACTTGAAGAAGATGCTGGCATGATTTAAAATATATACATTATTCTATCTTTTTAAATTAACTCTATATATATACATATTGAGAATATTAAATAAAACTACAAAAAAAAAGACGATGCGCAATTAAAAACCTATTTAAAAGAAAATCTACATTTTGTTTCTTTTTTTCTGATTATTTTTTATTTGTTATATTTATCAGTGTTGCTTATTTATTCTTTTGTGAAACCAGAACTATTTCTTATTTTTACTTTATATTATTTGTTTTATAATGATAATTGCTTCTCTATCGTGTATACCAATAAGATTGACCTTCTATTTTCATTTTATCGTTGTGAGAAATGAGTATATATATACATATATATTCGCGTGAACAAGATAATGCGAAATACATATGACATATCTAGTCAGTTAGTTCATGTTTTATAATTCTTATTTCTGTGTGAAATCGATTTTTATAAGTTAAAACAAAGTGCTATACTATTTCTGTAAGGTTTCAGGATTCTTTATCATTCTTTAATATCGAATATATGTAGTAGAACATTCCTTATTTTTATTTTAACAAGCAACAAAAAACTAATATTCATTCCTAATTGTTAATTATCATCTGTTATTTATGCAATGTATTTCTGTCATATTCTTTGTATTTTTTTCTTTATATAATATGCTTTATTTTATTTTCGTTGAATTCGCGACTGATTTCATCCATTTTCTGAATGTTCCGTAAAAAAATCGGGTGAACATGTTCATTTCTTTTTAGATTATTTTCAACGAAGAAACAGAGACGAAATGGAAAAATTTAGTATTTCTCTCATTGTCTTTACTGTATTTTGGGGTTTAATCGGTATTGTTTTACCATTTCTCATTCCTAAAGGACCGCATCGACGGTAAGACACTTAAAAATGTTTATTTAATTTAAATTGCTATTTTATGTTTCTTTTTTTTGTATAATTAGTCTCATTCAAACAATGTTAGCATTAACATCTGCTTGTTGTTGGCTCTTGTACGTTAAAAATATCTTTTCAACTATTTTGTTATAATTTTCGTTATTTTAGTTGGTTATGTTTCTATCTTCATCAATGGAAACCATTATTTGGACCACAAATTTCCAGTGTCGATGCTCGTGCATTAAAAGTACTCTGGGGTCAAGATCTTTAAATTACATCTCTCATTCCATATATATATCATTCGATAAAATCATTTTTTTCTCTTTATTTTACGATCAATAAATATCCTTATTTAACCTTTTCGTATCATATAATCATTACTATTGCCCTGGACATTGTCGACTTTATTTTTATTTTCAGTTCTATTCGCCACACCCCTTATGTTGTTGTTGTTTGTCTGTTCGGTATCGTTTAAAGTGTATAGTTTCTTATAAATATATATATATATATATGTGCAATTGGACGCAAGCTTTATGTTTGTCGCTGTCTACTGAGATTATTTTACTATGGTAGACATGTGGAGAAAAGACAAATAGAAATAAAAGAAAAATTACATTTGCACATTAAGTGTTTTACTTGTCTTGAAATTTTAGATTTTTATTTTCCATTTTATTTCAAATCGCATTCATTGAAAATGAATTCAAGCTTTAGTGGTCCAAAACTTTTTACATTTGTTCTCTCACGAGAACATGGTTATGCAGCTGGTGTTGCTTTATCATCATGGGTTGTCTTACAATATATGGGTGTTAATGTAATGAAAGCACGTAAACGGTAAAATATATTGTTTTTATAAAGTTTAAAGAATGTCAATTAATTATAATTCGAATAATAATAAACAAAATTATATAAAAAATTAATTTGATTTAGATTCAATGTTGATTATCCAGCACTCTATGCAAGTGATTCACATCCTCAAAGCAAAGCATTTAATTGTAAGTTTAATATTTTAATTTTTCTATTTATTCAATATATATTTATATATATCGTTAGGTGTTCAACGTGGACATCAAAATACATTGGAAAATTATCCACAATTTCTCCTTATGTTAGGTTTAGGTTCAATTCAATATCCACTTATTTCATCCATTGGTGGCGCTATTTGGTTAATTGGACGTTTAGTCTATTTTCAAGTAAGAATAGGAAATTTGTTTCTATACTTTTAATTGTTTCGAATTTTCAAGGGATATGCAAGTGGTCAACCAGAAAAACGTCAATATGGTGCATTTCAATATATTGGCATGTTCGCAATGATGGGTTGTGCTATCAAAACTGTCTATGACCTTATTCGTGCTTAAAAAACACACATATACAAAACCCGGTTATAAAAAAGAGTGAATAGTGATTTGATTCTATCTTTTTTTAATATAATCGAAAGAGAGATATTTCAAAAAAAACAAATATTTTTTTCATCCTTCTTTGATTTGTACCCCTCTATCTTTATCCTCGCATGGTCCCATATAAAACATACTTTAGAATAAATAAATGATATGATCTATATACATCTTTTTTATTTATATGTCATTGGTCAAATACTAAAACCAGTTAAATAGCTCTTTTTTTGATGCATTTGATTTATTTGAAAAAAATGAGCACTAAATTAACAGCGACACACGCATGATACATCATCATAATCACTGAAGCGGCATATACGTTTTTTTCTTATGTAGATGGATAAATAACAAAGTGCATCATGTCATATCAATATAAACGAAATGCTTTGATAACCAACATTTGCTTGTATGAATATAGAACAATTAGAAATGAAACAAATGTTCATAAATTTTTTTGAAAAACATCAAAAAAGCAAAATTTACTATGAATAATAAATAAATATTGATTGTTCAATATTTATCTCTTCGTTGTCATTAGTATGATTTGTTAAACTACTATATAACGATTATGTACATATCTAAATCAGTAACTTATTATCGATTAAAAACGAAATGAATAGAGATATCATATACAATTTATTTATCGATTAGTTGTGTCTTATATGCAATTTTAGCTCATGAATAAATTCTATTCACATGACTGCTATCGTATATCTAATCATTACTGGTTCGTATATAATAATTATTGATTCTAGAACGATATCGTCTAGAGACAGAATAGACCATAATTTCATCTCAATATGCCATCTTGATAATTGAAATTGAATGTCTTAACTAATTAACCATGGATGATCAATGTACAAAATATTCACTTGCACTCTCATACCAACGATATAGACATATTCATCATACCTTATTTAATATTCGTCTGCTTCCTAAAATATACTACTTTCAATAGTGAACCATACACATTTTCTCTTGTCAGAAAAAAGTAGCATACTATAAAACAATATCTTTTGTCAAGGTGACAGATGGTTAGCAAAGAAAAGTGTGAGAATGATTGTTCCTTTGATAATAATTTCTTTGTGTTTTGTTTTGATCAGAATATTTATAGTGTGAATGATCACAAGCAGAGTGCTTTTCAGACAATTTCGATCTGTTGTAATGATCGTCTACATTCTCGTTCTTTCGTTCACGTCAATCAAAATATTGATCTTGTCAAAATCAGATAATTATTCATATTCGATGAAGATGCTACTGACATGTTTTCTTTCTCATTTACACTAACAACAGGCGAACTAACTGAATTATCATTGTAGATCGATGAGCTCTGCAAATGAGGAAACGAGGACGACGTGAGAACAAATGACACTCTCATTCATGTTTAACAATGAGCTGCAATTTAGGACACAAACGTGTCTTACACTCTAATATTTTTCCCTAATGAAGTCATTCAGTTTCAATTGATTAGCTTTTTTCCTAGTTTATCATTATAGTAGAATGAATAAAAATCACCCATCGTCTCCCTCTCTCTCTCTTTCACACTATCATATTAACTGCTTGCATAAGTATTCAATTAGCCACTTGTGTATTTACATGGATGATCATCAATTGCTTAAATACAGCTCAATAATAGCCATGTTTATTGAGAAAACATTTATGATTCACTTGTTTTCTCAAAATATATCGCATACTGTGCAAACGAATTGTGTACATACAGTAAGCATGAATAAACATAATTGTATATGTATCTTCATCATTAATATGATATCATTTTCTAAATATTCAATGATCCATATCCAAATATTCACATAATAGTTTCTAATAAAATACTAGATCTTTTTTCTCTCAAGATACTTGGTATATATATTTGAATGTATTTAAATTGAGAGCAACCGTCATTGAAACTGAAATGCTCCTTCGATCACATTTGTCGTTATTGACAGGAGACATCTTTTTTTTTTCGAAATTACGAATTAACTTGTCAATAGGACAGAACAATTAATTAAGGTTTTGTTGGTGCACAAGAATGCATCTTCAAGTACGTTCCCAAATGATAACATTGAATAATCATATCTCTTGATTTCATTTTAATAATACATATTGTTTGCTGATTAGTACTATATGGATAGTTCACAGCAGGTGAAAAAAATGCATATTATCTGATTGTGATACGCAGCAGGACAAGATCATTTAGCAATATCCTATCGTATATGTATATATATATATTTTCTTTTTCGAAGAATAGTTTTCACAAAATAAATATAAATGAAAAAAAAATAAAAAGAGGAGAAAAAAAAGTAAAATTAAGATTTTTTATAAACAACATCAAAAGTTAGATGAATACACATATTTGCAAGATGGCGACATCAAAATGTGTAATTTAATCTTTACATGGTATGTTCATATATCACTGTTGGATAAGTGTCGGTAGTATTGATGATAACACACTAGTCAGATAATCAATGTAATCAGCATGATGAAAATATATTTTGAATTTGAGTTATACAATTTAATAGTTGATCCTAAAAAACGCAAAATGATATAGAAATACTAATATATAAAATCTATGAACTTACTGAATAATGTACTGCATCTTTTTTATGTGTAACGAAATTTTTGATTTGTTCAGTAGTAAAAGTATTCGAAGTGATTGTGTACATCAATGAAAGAACTACAATACTACATGGATAATTGTGAAGAAGTTCTATAATACAAAAATAATAAATGTATAAATAGTCAACAAATATATTTTTTTCACTTACGATATGTTTCATGTGAATATGAACTGATTGAAAGAAGAGATTGAACTTGTTCAACTATTTCTTTCAAATTATTATTAACATTGGATAAATAAGAAAAGAAATGATCAGGTGTTGTCACAGATATATCATAAGAGAAAATATCGAGAAGATCAACTTCAGCATCCTATTATACAATAAAATATATCATAATGATATTGTTTTGATAAAAAAAAGCAAAAGACTTACATGAATATGTTGAATGTTATCGATTTGACAACATTTAGCAATAAGTTCATAGTCAATAGTTTGTGATGATAATTGTTGATATTTGAATGAAAGTGTAACACAAGCAACAACAGTTAATAAATCAAGTGAATGTTTTTGAATGATAAGTTGTTTGAGTAAGATAGTAATCATCCATGTAGTAGAAGATGATAGATGAAGAAGTAAAGATAACTATAAAAAACATATAATGATGAAAATAGATGAAAAGAAAAAATTTTACTTCATGTGAAAGTTGTTGTACATGTATAGGAAGTGATATATTGAGAAGTTCATTATATTGATGTTGGTCTTCTTGATTGAGTAGAGTAATAAGAAGATTTGATTCAGAAGACGAAAGTTGAAAATCAGGTGCAGCTCGAATATGTTCTTCGTGAGGAAGAAAAGATAGTATCGAATTCATCTTTTGGTGCGAATGAGTGATGTGATCAATATTTCTCTGTCGCTATTTATACGCATTCGGATAGCGAAAGGAAAAGCGAAAGCGAAAGAGAGAGAGACAGAGTGAGCTTGACCAATGAGTGATTTTTGTTCATTCTGTTTGCTTTCTAATTGTTTTCAATGAGCTGGTCAGCTGTTTATCAAATCACTATGGAATTCATAAAGATGTTCTCTACGGATATATCTCGAGAAAAGTTGTGTTTTTTTAATCAGGTAATATCCCAAGAGTACAAAGTCTAAAAGGTGATTACTATGGAAGAATTCTATAATAATCTTATATGTGAAGTTGAAAATAGCATGAATTAATCTCTATTAGATGATTTTTTAAATAATTTAACTAAGTATTCAAATTCGGCCTTATTTGTACATACCTTCGAAAATGAAGATTTCCATGGATTTGAAGGGCGAACCATATATATATATATATTTGCTACTTGATTAATTCGATCAGACATATCATGCGTGATTGTTTAATTTTGAATCATTATCGCTTGCATGTTGTTCATAAGGATAAAAGTATCTTTTTGAACTGACGCATCCTCATCTCTTTTTTTTTGTTCTGATCTTTCATGTAAATCGGCACGCGTTTATTTTTCTTTCAAATATACTCGATTTAAATAATGTTGACGCATCCGCCGCTAATTTTTAATACGCCATAAATCATCATCGCATGTTCAAATGAATGAGTGATAGATAGAAAATCCTAGTGAATAGTATATCTATTTATATCCAACGCAGATTAAAAGATAATACGCTCTATTAAACTCTAACCTTAGACTAAGAAACTTTTATAAACTACAATTCGTTAGAAATACGATGATATTTTAATCGATTGGATGATGTAAGTCTAATAATTGTCATAGATGAACCAACTAGTATATTATTGACAATAGAGATAATCATCTTATGAATGTGTGATAGAATGGAGAGACATTTCACACATAATGCAACGTAAAATTGATAGTGACATAATATTAATGACACTGTATCACTATTAAAATATTTTATATGTGGACAAAATCATTTGTTAATGATGTAACTTCGCATAATTGATATACATATATCTCTGAACAATGAGCTTATCTAGAGTTAATTTTTTATATGCTAAATTATCCTAGACACTCTAAAAAAACAATTCTATGGATCCTTATTCGTCAGAGTTATGATTACGAGGCTAGTATTAGTGATGTGAATCAATAAAGGTTCCACTGGAAGTATTTCAGTTTGAAAAATCTACAAAATGAAACATTATTTTCAAAAAGTACTTAAATGAAGTCGACTTTTATATACTGATAATTTAGTTTCGACTACGTGGTTGTCATTAAATCTTGCCGAATTATACATTGATATTTGCCATTTAGATGACGATACAAAAAGTGTTTACACTATGGTAAGTCGATGTATTACTAAATATTTGTCTCAATTTAATTTATTTGAATTATCTGATCAACTATTATTCATCTAAAACGTTTTTCTTTATAATCGACAATAATATATTTACAGACATTGATTTATCCTTTTTAGAATGATCTATCTAATACGAAATGTTTTTCATTAGCATGCTGTTGCAAAACTAATGAGTATGATACTCGAATTTTACTTCTTCACCATCGTATGACAAAACTTAAAGGATTTACGTTGGATATAACTAACGACCAATAAACTTTCTTTATCGATGATAGTGATATGAATTTTCAATTACAATCACAGATAAGAGTCACTTCTGTCTCTAACAATAATGAATTGTATTGACCTCTTAAATATCCATATTTCATATATATATGAAGATGTTATAATTTCGTAAATTTCTACAAGCATCAATTTATGAATACTCAAGAGAGCATCTTAAGTAGAACATACATATCGTAATCGATTTTAATCATATTGTTTTAAATTATTTTTATAGATATTTATCTTTTTGCTTGTTGAGTACAAATATTCTACAACTCGAAGAACATAATTATAATGTAAATTTTGATTTTATTTGAATTTTTGAAAATGAAATAAGAATCACGGTAATTAAAATAACTAAGTGAGCATTTATAGTATTAAATTTTCTGAACGATTAATGATTATGTACAAACTGATTATCATCTACTCATGTTATTATTTTATTTTTATTTTTCCTTTGAAAACTAATGATGATAGTCTCACAAAATAATTTTGTGATTTCTTCAAAAACAAAAATTTTATTTTTATCTAGATGTGGGCGTGTAATCTCAATACACATTCATATTATATTCATCATTGTCGTTTTACCGAAAAAAATATACATTTAACAGACAAGAATCAAACAAAAATAGGAATAATATTTGTATATATACAAAAAAATAAAGAAACAGATTTTGATAAGAGAAATGCACAAGCGACTTGATCGCAAATCATAATAGAAAATATATATTGAGAATAAGAATTTATCTGAATTTGACTTCTTGGTTTGAAAATATTTGACTTGTAGGAATAAATGAACAAAATTTATTTATATTTTTTACCAGGACCACCACTAGTTTTGCCTTTAGCAGCATTTTCATTTGTAGCACCATTTTTTCGTTTTAGACCTTTGTTGGGAATCGTTTGCGCTGCCTACATAAAGAAATAATTTAAAGAATTTATCTGGATTTTGTACATTCTAAATATCAATACATACAGCTTTTTTAGCATTTGGTGTTGTAGCCGATACAGTATGTGATACAGTAAAAAATGAATCTAATCGACCTTGTTGCGTTGTTGTTCGAGCTTTTGCTAATTTTTTTACACCATTACGAATACGATCTTCACTAGAAAAACCAAAAAAAAAAGATTCGTATATTGAAATTAATACAATATATCATCATTATCGTTAAACTATAGAAAAACATTTATGACATATCTTTCAATTAAGTACGACATCTACCCTAGAGATGACGTACATAAACATATGTTAATAACACATTCTGTTTTGTATTAGCCTTCATATAATTATTCACATACGAAATATTTTCTCTAGTTTTTTCTTGAAATTCATCTGTTTGTCACACTCTTGCTTATTAAGGGCAAAAAAATATGAAAACAGATAATGACATGCGCAAGCATGATTCGTTGGCGTAGCGTTTATCACTCATTTTGCCTGTCTACGTTTTTCTATTATTTATTCTCGATCGTTCTTTCTTCTCAACCCTTCGTAATTCTATGAATCATTCTATGTTTTTCACCCTTTTCTCTTCAAGATAAATAAATATATATATTCAACGACGAAGTTACTACTCTACTTACATTACGTTTGTAATTTTACTTAAAACGCACTAAGAAAATGGCTAATACTTATTACATTAAAGTTTACTATACAAAACAAAATCAACAACAACCTGAAATTCGTCGATTTGCGGTACGTTATTTTACTAGTAAATCTTTAAATCAAACTTATTTTATTCTTTCTAGATTGATATCTCACCCGAAAATGATATTTATCAAGAATTATCTGCAAAGATTGCATCATTTCAATCGGATAATCAATTAAAAGATTTTACTCTTCAATATATTGATGAAGAAAATGAACGTATTACATTCAGTTCAAATGATGAATTACGTTCAGCAATTGCTTTTAATAAGGATGCAAATACTTTAAAGGTTTTTGTTACAATCAATCAAACAGTCCCTCAGCAACAGGAAAATACAACTAATCAAGAATGTCATGCTGGTGTTACGTGTGATGGTTGTAATGGTCCAATTACTGGATTTCGTTACAAATGTTTTGTTTGCCCAAATTATGATTTATGTGAAAAATGTTCATCAGCCGGTATTCATTCGGAACATAATATGATTAAAATAACCAAATCAGGAAGTTTTCCTCATACAATTGGTTCACAACAAAATAGTTTTCATGGTCGTCGTCAACGTCGTACACCACCATTTGTACCAAATGGTCAATTTATTGAACAAATTCAAGCTCAAATTCCTCAATGGTTACCTAATCAACAAAATACTGCTCTTTTTCGTGCTCATATGCAACATCATCTTGATTCAATAAAAGCTAATACACAAACACATATGCAAAATTCAAAACAATATCTTGAAAGTGTTGGACAATATTTACAAAAAACATTATCACCATTTGGTATTGATTGTGAATATCATGTTGATGAACAAACAACTTCAACAAACCAACAAGAAGAACAAGTTCCAACAGAAAATCAACAAGAAGAACACGTTCCAACAGAGAATCAAGACGAACAAGTTCCAGTAGTTGAAACTGATTCTACACATGAACCAGATGCTGTACCAAAATATACAAATTTAACTACAATTATTAATAATAATGAAGAACAAACTGCAAGTGCATCAGTACCAGTAGTTGAAGAATCAACAAAAATAACAAATCCATTAGAAAAAGCAATTGATGAATGCTTAGAAAAAATGAAGGCAATGGGTTTTACGGATAGCAATGGTGCATTACGTGAACTTGTTCGTTCAAAACAAGGTGAAATTAATGCAGTACTCGATGCAATTAATCCGCGTCATTATCAATCGTAATTAATGCAAATTACATTGAAATAAATAAATAAACATTTTTGTCTTTTAACTCTTAAAAATATTTTACTATTTGTAAATTAATCATTCATTTTTCTTTTCCGTTCATTCAAATAAAACATTTGGAAGTGTAACTTCATTCATTATAAAAGATATATTTGTTAATCTTGTACTTACGTAAATCCTTTGTCATTAACCATATATGCTATAAGACCTTCTTCATCTGGTTCAGTCCATTTAAGCTAAAATTTAAATATAAAATATTTCAAAAAAAAATAGAATTAATTAATAAAAGAATAAACTAACATCAACTGCATCGTTTGGTAAAACATCAGGTTCTTTAAATAATACTCTTGCTTGTTCGAAGCCCCATTCATCAGGAATAGTGTATTTCTATATAAAAATTAAAAAAAGGATGTTGAAATATTTCAAAAAATTAAATATAACGAACTTTTTTATCAATATTTTTAAGAATTGTTTCAATATTACGATACTGTTTAATAAGATCAAGTGCACGTTTTTGTCCAATACCTTTTATTGTATCGCAATAATCACATCCAAGTAAAATACATAAATCCGTAAACTATATTAATAAACGAAAAACATAAGATTAGATGAGAAAGTAAAATAAGATTCATTATACTTCTTCAAAATTAATTTCTAAACCTTGAAGAACTTTTGACAATGTAAATTCACGAATTGGCATTTTTCTATAAGAAGAAATTAAATAGAAAATTAATATTTATCCATAGAATATCTAACGAACCGTGCTTCACTGAATGTTAAATGACGTATAAGTACATCTGTACCAAATGTTAAAGCCTAGAATTGTCAAATGAAATAAAAATATAAAATTAGAAAACTTCTTATTTTACATCCATATCTTCAGTACCAACTCCATAAACTTTTCCTTGTTTAACAAGTGCTGCACATTCTAAAGATAAGAAAATATACTGATTAAAGATAACAAAAAACTAAAATTTAGTAAAACTTACGAGCTTCAGCCTCAGTAGGTGCATCAACATAGGGTACACCCATTAATGCCAATAATCGTTTACATTCTTCAGCATGTTCACGAGTAACTTTAACAGTTCGACGTGCAAATTTATCAAATGCTTCTTCATCTCCTACATTAAAAAAACATAGTATATTAATAGAATATTTAGCTGATAGTAATTAAGAGTACTAACCAGCTTCTGCAGCTTTTGACATTTCAGCTTGAGCTTCTGTACGTCGTTCAAGACGTTTTTCTAATTCTTTAGATTTCATTTGTGGTGGTTTTCCATCAAATACATAAACTGGTTTTATACCATTTTCAATCATACGAATTGTTCGATAGAACATTCCCATTAAATGACTAGTTGTTTCACCATTTTCATTAGTTAAAGTTTCACCATTTTGTCGAACAGCAATAAGAAATTGATAGATAGACATTGAACTATAATAAACGTATAGATAATCATATATTTCTTTTGTTTTTAGAAAACGGAAAAAGAACGTTGTTTTTACAACACATTTTTTTGTGTACTGTTTAAACATTTCATTTTTTATGTATTTATCGACACTTTTATGTCATACATAATATTTTTCAGTAGATATTACATGAATTTTAAATATAGTGATTAATTCCATATTCTGTCTTTTTTAAGAATTAACTTTGAAAATGACCATCTATTTATTCAAAACTACTGAATGAATCATATCTTTCGGTAAGATGATGATTAGTTTTCTTAGTATTATTGAGAAAACCTTCTGTTTTGTACAGTTTATAGAATTATTTGAAGAATAAAAAGATAACAAAATGTAATCATATGTATTATATAATTACCAAATCGAAAAATTTATAATTATATTTTTTGAAAACGAATAGAACACGTAAAAATTTGTGATTCATCGTATGTCACGTTAACAAAGTTTACTTAAGATATGAAGATATGACGATTCTTATGAATAACTTACGCATCAATTGCAATTTTTCGGCCAAAATAATTCTTTATTTCTCCTTCTTTTATAGATCCTGGTGCTTGATCAGCAATTAATTTTGCTAAATTGTGAATTCCCATTACTAATCAATTAAATGCACGAAATCTGAAAAAACAAAGCAGAATTAAAATATCGAAAATAAAATATTCTTCTGGTTGTTTTAAATATATATATTGAAAACACAAAAAAAAGAAGTAAGAGCAAGAACCAAAAGAATAAAAAGTAAACAAGCACAAGAACAACAGTAACAGAAAGAGAACGAACACAGCAAAGCGGATATTTTTCATTTCGACATAAGTTACATAAAGAGAAAAAAAAAGAAAATAACCTAATCAATAACTAATGTTCTTCATAGATTAATATGATGAAATTTTAATTCCTGGAGCGCCACCTGGTGGTCCTTCATTTTTTCCAGCATATTTTGCTTTTCCATATGAATACGGTACATATTTATATTGTATCATATGTGCTATACGTTGTCTCATTGTTAAAAAGAATAATGTAAAGAAATAAATGACAAGTACTGGCCAAAATACTGGTATATCAAATATGGAAAACATTGTTAATATTAAACTGATAACTATTGCTTTAAATGTTGTATACCAAAATTTAAATTCAGGTAGACGACGCATAAATGGTCGAAATTCATCTGTTGATCGTGTTGGTAAACGTGGTACATGATCACCTTCATCATCATCCACATCACGCAATGATGGATCTTGTTTTGGTGTTAAAAAAAGAATAAATTGGTTAAGTAAAAATATTCCAAGGCCATAAGCGATAATATAAAAACCTTG